ATTCTCATCCTCACACCCAGCAGAACCGATGCCCACACTGCAAATCTTCTGCCATCATCCAGCCTGTTCATGGCTGACCAAAAACATACAAATGTACCTTCAGCTTGAGCAGTGTCAACATGCTGCAGACAAATGACATACAAACTAGAGTGACAGAAGCCAACCAAGACTGAAAAATGTCCAAAGCATATAAACACATTCAAGTCAAAATGACTGAAATTAATGAAAATAATCTTATTACAATTTTAATACTTTTATTTGCAAATCTAAATTAGAAAGAAAAAACAATTTTATTTCAATTTAGAAATCTAAATTGAAATTGAAAATGTTGTGATTTCAATTTAGAAATCTAAATTGAAATGACAAATGTCCTGATTTCAATTTAGAAATCTAAATTGAAATGAAAAATGTCCTGATTTCAATTTAGAAATCTAAATTAAAATGAAATCACATTTCATTCCAGTTCAAACATCTATAGTCGATTGACAGCTTGAACTGCTAAGCTCTCTTTTCATATCCTGCATGATATCAAAGTGTCATTCATGTGGGCCAGGATCAGTCCAATCTGGCCAGCCATGCATCTCAACCTTCTCCTTGATGGCTGCCATGATGAGCTTCATCTTCTTGTTCTGACAATATGTTGACAACATCTTCTTAGCTCTTGGGCTCTCATGATTACACCAGGCCAGTAGAAGAAGCCCCATCTTCATAGCCCATCCATTCCATGCTCGAACTTCATCATTCTTCTGATTCTTTGGTTCCTGTAGCAACCCAAAACAAACATATTTCTTAACCACTTTATGTCCTTACAACATACCATTATTTGCTGTTTACACAAATGCTACTTACAAAAAATTGCTTCAAACACTGAACAGTGGTTCCTGCCTGCTTGGTAAGTATGCCACCATCACCATAGAGCTGCTTCCACATGTCTTGTGGAGAGGAAATCAATTTAGGTCGACTTCCACAAGGTTGACTGCCCTGCTCCTGCTGTAGTGGCACCTGGTCTGGACTAACTGTAGTGTAGTCTTTCTGGTTCTTGGACTCCTCAGTCCCTTGTGTGGCATCACTTGTTGCTGCCATTCCTTGGGTCTTGCTGTTGTGCGACACAGATTTGTTGGCTGTCTCACTCTCTTCAGCCACCTCCTTCTTTTGCACTGTGTGTTCAGTGGTCCCAACTGGTCGAGCTTTTGGAAGAGGAGAACTTTGCACAGGAGTGCTGGAAGGCATGTGCCAAGGAGCATTGGTGAACTCATGCTCACTCACTGGTTCACCAGGTTGTTCATCTTTCTTCTCCAGGCCACTCCCAGAGTCTGCTTCCTGCTTGAGCTGCACCATGTAGTCCAAGGCCTGAGGTCAAGGGATACAGTACAATTGATTTAACACACATGACTGTTTGTCAAAAAAAAGCTAAACAGTGTACACTGGTCAATGGCCAAGTGGCACTCATATCCTGCTGATTTAAAACACATAACTGTTTGTCAAAAAAACTAAACAGCGTACACTGGTCAATGGCCAAGTGGCACTCATATCCTGCTCCTGCTGTGTAAAATGACTCTGCAAGAGTCTGGTCACATCTGCAACTAGAGCATCATCAGGCATCGAAGGGTCCTGCAAGCTTTGCATACCAGTGCAGCAAACACAAGTTTGAACAACAGACCATACACTACACTTGGGTTGGTTGGTTGGTCCAACAAATCTACAAGCTCATGGTCCTCATCATCCAAGTTGGCCCAAGCATCCCATCCCTTCTTTGGCCTCTTCTTTTCAGAGGTCTCTGCAGAAGGAGTGTCCCTCTTCATCTCTATGGAAAAAGCTAGTGCAGCTAGTGCTTGAGCATGGATCAAACAGAATAAGGGCATTGTAAGAAACAACTCTCTTAAGCCACAAAATGGCTCAACAAACTTTCAAAGTTGGCAAAGCAACTAAAGCCAAAACATGGCTGAAACACACAAACAAAGCCAAACCAAACCTGATAGCCAAAAAAAGGCTGAACAAAACAATCTAGCCAACATTTGGCTGAAAAAAACAAAACATATAGTAGAGGAAAGCAAGCCACACAAAGGCTAAACACATATGAAATCAAAGCCAAGGACTATTGACCCTGCACAAAACCTTGCAGATGCAATTGTTTTATCACACACATGCCAGGCTTGCTTTGGTGTGTTTGTACACAAAGTCTCACAGCTGGCATCAATGTGCCTTCTTTGCCTTTCTTGGCAGTCAGTGCTGCAGAAACATCTGTCTCTTTGAGAAGAGTTGTCTGCTATTGGTTATGTCTTCCTTGCCTTCTTGGCAGGTGGTGTGGCAGAAACATCTTTCCCCTTGAGCAGGGGTGTCTGCTCTGCAACCTGCTTGGGGTTCTCCAAGACTGGAATGATTAGATCTTTGTAGGTCTTCCAAATGACCTGAAGGTTGGCTTCCTGCTCATCTTCAGTGGCCTTGACATAGAAGTATGCACACACAACTCCTGCCTCTTCACTCTTGATGGGGTTGTAGGCCTTGAAGCCTTGCACCTGGTAGGCTACCCCCTTGAATTTGACCAGGATTGCACCCTTTGCTAAGAGGTCATCTGTCTTGTGTTGGTCCTTGACCTTTGCCAAAGTTCCCACAGGGTAAAGCTGCAGCTCTTTCACCTTGAGCTTCCTCAAGGCAAGCAAGCCATTGGGAAACTTTGTGAATGCCACCATGTCCACATTTGCCTTGTTGTTCTCTTTGTAAGCCTCTGCCAACAAATAGCTTGCACACATTTTGTCCCACTCATCCAAAACTAGTGGGCAAGCCTCAGGAAGTCGATCCTTGATAACATCTCTGGGGCAAAGCTGGCACATTTCTTTCTTAGTGCTCTTCCAATCCTTCAGCTCTTCCACGCTGGCCACAACTTCAAGAGTCTCACCAAACAATGGAACATGCTTGAAGACACCACAACCATCCTTGATGCCCTCCAATGCAAATACCTGCTCCTTGTAGTCCTTGTGCATGTAGTTCTTTCCAACACTGATGTGGCTGTTCTGCAACATAGCTACTTCATCTGGGCTTGCTTTGAGCAAATCCTTTACTTTGTCAGCATCAGTCGCTTTGACAGCTGCAACACTTGAGCTTGGCACATGTTCACCCCCTTCAAGGTCAACAGAAAGCTCTTCTACAATAGCTTGGAATGAATCAAAGGACAGTCCATCTCTGCTAAACTTCTCAAACTTCTCTTTCTGCAATGCATGCAGGACAAGCCGCACACAAAACTTACCAAAGCTCATTTCACCCAGGGCTTTGTTTGCCACCTTCTGGCATGAAGCCCAGCCCTGGGAAAGAAGGTCTTCCATGGCCAAGGTTGTGCTCTTGCCCTTCAACTTGTCAAAGTCTGATTTGAAGACAAGTTTTGATATTCCATCCTGGTGGCGCTTTGAGCTGAGAATTGTTGCCAATAAGGCAATGCGAAGGAAGTTGAGCTGGCATCCAGGCAACCTGAAATTGTAGTGGGCAAGCAAGTTGGTGTTTTCCTCACCAACCAAAAGGGAATGGCCAGAAGCTTTGCCTTGGCCAAGCAAGCCAAAAGAGACTCTGTTGAAGATATGCCACAAACAATCACTCAAATACATTAAACATTGTTGCCACAAGCCAAGTCACAGAACCCGTCCAACCAGAGCAGCATTGGGAAGGTGTCCCCTCCTGAGTAGAGGCGCATGAACTGTGCACAGTCATCTATGTATGCTTTGCAAGAAGGGCTGCTTTGGCAAACAGCTTGAACTGCATCTTGCATCCTCATGCCACTTCTGTGTAGGGCAGCAAGTTCCATCATTGCCTCCAGCTCATTGGTCAAGATGGTGTTGCTGTTGTGTGCATTCATGCTCATGGAGCAAAAAGCAGGCAAGTCTGGAAACATCACAGCTGCCTCTGCTTTCAACATTGTCCACTGCCAGCCAGATTCCACCAATGCCTTGATCTCTGGTGTCATGTGGAGCTGTGTTCCATCTGCCTTGGTGCACCCATGGTCAAGGGCCCTGCAAAACTGGTTGAAGTGGGAGCTAGCTAAACTCAAGAACCTCTCCCCACCTTGGAGAGGTGCAAGCACCCCTTTGCTTTGGCCAATCATCTGCTGATTGGCTCTCAATTGCTTTGACCTCTCATCAGGTCCAACTGCAAGCTCAATCCCCAAAGAATTGGGTGGTAACAAGTCTTTCTTCAAGCCACTTTGCAGCACCTGAGTGCCCTTCAAATGCACATTGTGTGCATTGCACATGGAAGTCCCTCTGTTCTCAGGGTGACACATGATCTCTCTTGGAGAAATCATGGCTTTGTATGCCAAGCCCACCTTCTCCAAAGAAAGCAGGATCTTCTCCAGCTTCACATGAACACCAGTAGTGTTGGCTGGGTCGAGGAGCTCTTTGATTTCCTCTTGGACATCTGCAGGCACAGCCATGGCTCTATCACCCAAACTGAGGTGGCTGATCTTTTGGAAACTGTTCCCCATATATGTGTTGCTCATGTTCTGCTATAGCTACTATTGGGTTCGCAACCTTGTACCATTTGGCTGAAATGCTGGTAGCACTCTTGCATCAGCCTCACACTGAAAAAGGCTTTGAAGCCTTTTATGGCAGCAACCATAGAGTAGGTAAACTTGTTGTTGTAAACATAGCAAGCATATCCATTCATGCAAACATAGCCAACATGGCTGAAACACAACATAGCCAACATGGCTGAAAAAACCAACAAAGCCAAAATGGCTGAAACACAGCATAGCCAAAATGGCTGAAACACAACATAAAGCCAACATGGCTGAAAAAACAACATAAAGCCAACATGGCTAAAAAAAACTAGCATTGCTGAAAAAGCCAACATGGCTGAAGCACAAAGCCACCATGGCTGAAGAACAACAAAAACAAAACAAAGCCACCATGGCTGAAGAGTAAAGAGGAACAAAGCACTTGGCTGGCCTTTTTGCTCAAGCATCCATTGTTGCAAGTGTCTTATTGGCACATCTCACTCTTCTACATCTGAGTCTTCTATCTCATTGTTGGCATCCCTTTTGAATTTCCCACTCTTGTCATACTTCCTTTTGGAAGTCAAGAGCTGGCAGTCTGGCTCCAAGAACAGAATCACTGCCTGCAGCTGTATGGGATCCAGGCACACCTGTAGATCTGCTGCAGTGCCCGTGAACCTGGCCTGAGGCCGAATAAAACCTGGCCTGAGGCCAACGCCAACATGAATCGAGTGTTCAGTTGCCTGCATCATCAGCAGACATGAACCCCTCAGAGGCATCACTATATATATGATGCCTCTATGCGGGAGCGCAGGGGGCTGAAACGCTCACAAAAGAAGTAGCACACAGTGCACCAGCCAATCAGCGCAAACACACATAGAGCTGCAAACCATGGCGTCTCCAAGCAAATGCACTTGCACATTGCAAAAGCATAGCGGTGGTCATGAAAACACATTGGATTGAAATCCTGAATGTCCAGTGTGGGAACATACCTGACCTCTTCTGCCATGGAAGAAAACACATCCTGTCATGGTTCTAATACCCTTCTTGGACCAGAGTCTAGAAGCGGTAGCACAGCAGCAACAAAACACACAAATGCAAACAACTTTCAATAAATTGTTTCCACAAAAGAAAACAATTAAAACAATTGTCAGAACAATTGTTGAAACAATTTCCAACCTCAAAAGAATATTTCGCTTGTTTTTTTGGCGTCCCCATCACCGGAGGTTTTGAAAACATTTAACGAGTAAGGTTTCCTCGTTCTGGATGAGCTCTTTCAGCTGCAAGCTGAAATTATCCAAGCAACAATCCCTCTCACCAAAGAATTGGCGCGCCTTTTCTTGTTGGAGTTCCGGGCTCAAG